AACCAAAAGAGAAAGAGAGAGAGAGAGAGAGAGAGAGAGAGAGAGAGAGAGAGAGAGAGAGAGAGAGAGAGAGAGAGAGATGCAAGTGGCCTGTGGCTCAGTGGTTAGGGTACTGGCTGTCGATGTGCATTGTGGTCTGCGGTTGTGCGTACAAAACTCCGCGCCGCTGCGTTAACATAACGAATGGGCAATTGCATACCCCCTTGGGCTGACGCAGGTAAGCTATTACAGACACTGCCTGCGCACCACCCAAGGGATCATCCATGGTGTTGTATGTTGGGTCCTGGCCTATGAGGGGTTGCCTGATACCGTAAGCGGTCTGATGGGGATGCAGGTACCAACTCATTGGCCAGGACCCAACATATGTTGGGTCCTGGCCTTGTACGGGTTTGTGGTACGACTGCTCATGTGTGTTGGTTACCTTAGGGTCTGCTTGGGTGGGGGGCAAGGACCTTAGGTGGGATGGGGTCTCCCGTTTGGGGGGAGGGTCGGGTTGGGACAAGCTCTGCTGGAGGTTATCGGTGGGGAACCTACAAGCAGATATGGTTTGGTATTCCCGTTTTTCCTTGATTGATTCTGTTTTTTATTTCTTGTTTGGTGGAAACGAATTGTGCTCCTTTTGATGTACCAGAAGCGGAAGCTGAGTTAGTTGCAGGCTATAACGTAGAATATTCTTCCATGGGTTTTGCTCTTTTTGTTTTAGGGGAGTATGCTAATATGATATTAATGAGTAGTTTATGTACTCTTTTATTTTTGGGTGGTTGGTTGCCCATCATGAAAATGGCTATTCTTTATTGGATTCCGGGCTCGATTTGGTTCAGTATAAAGGCCGAAGGCTTTCTGTTTTTATATATTTGGGGGGTTGTCTTAAGGGATCGTAGTAGGGGGGTGTTAGTAGACAGACTCTGGTGGAGGACATCGGTGGGAAATCTGCAGTAGGGGGGGGCGCTGTCGGAGGGGGATCCTAAGATAGGATGGTCGGCGTCCCACAAATTAGTTGCTGATTGACTGTAGAAAGGTACCTGTCATGGGTCCAGAAACCGACCTCTCCAACATCCTGGACTTTATTAAAAAAGAAAAAGAAAAAAAAGAGGGGGAGGCAGAGTAAGGCTGCCACAGTCGGGAGGTGAGGTCCCATTAGCAAAGAGGATTGGATAAATATGCTGAATCTGGACGTGTTTTAAGCAGAGATGCCGAAAAGCAGTTGAATCTCGACAGTCTGCACCTTTCCACGAACGAGTCCAGATTCAGGTGTTCGATCCAATCCTCTTTGCTAGTGGGACATAGCCCCCGGATAGGTGTATGTGGACCAGATATTTTCCTTGGGGCCTTTTTGAAAGTGGGATCATTTTTTTTGGACAGTGGCATTGGAAGTTTATGTATGATTCTCTTTTATACCCCCCCTGTCGAGGGACAAGTTCAGTACACGGCCCCAGCCTTGCAGAAAAGAAACTAACTGGTCATCTACTCTGGAAGAATTGGGCCTGGTGCGCCGTCGATAAATTTCGTCGATTGCCGGTGTCGCGTTTGGGGCCTCCTCCGAAACTTGTGGTGAGGGGCTTGTGGCCGATGTATGGCCGTGTGTTCTGAAGGTGTAAAGCTTCAGCGCACGGTGCGGAGCCTAAATTGCTGAGCCTATGTTTTTTGGCGAACAAACTGAACTTGTCCCTCCCAGTGAGGCCAGGTTGTTGAGGCTGGACAGGTAGCAGACAAGTCAGGGTTGGACTTTTTTGAATGAACTCCGGATGCAACTGCGGTCAGATACATCCAGGAAAGTCCTAGAGTGGGTGTGCCCTTCAGGAAAAGGGAAAAAGTGAAATGGGCAAAGCAAGGGGTCGAGGGTCAGCGCTCGCTCTCCTGGTTGCTCCTCCCACTGACATGCCCACACTTGTAATGTCAGCCCTTGATGTAGTACGTCTGTAGTACGTCAGAATCAAAGGCGTCATTCAACCCCCCCCCACCCACCCAACCCCTCCTTTAATTTGGACCATATGCGTTGCACCCTTGTGCAGGGGCCATGCTAATCTTCTCTGTATCGATGCAATTTTAAGCGATGTCCCAAAAAAAAAGGGACATCAAAGGTTGCATTCAATATATGTCAGTCGGCATGAAACTTGCACTCGTCCCATATACTCTCGCTAGGACTTTTTCTACTCTCTGGACGTGATTGCAGTCAGATTCTTTCAAGTTGTGTTGGAATTGCAGTTCAATACATCCAGGAGAGTCCTGCTGTCTCAACCCGTAAAAAACGTATGTGTGTTCTTTTTTTTTTTTTTTTTTTTTTTTTTTGAAGGGCCCAGTGCCCAAGGCTGATATTACCAAAGAACATATCGAGGCCGGGGTCCTCACAGTCTACCCGGAGTAACCGAACCGAGATTGCTGAAAACTGGGCTCAGCGTTCTATTCAACTTACCTCTGAAAAACGGGTCCCTGGAAATTGCTGTTTTTTTTGTTTTACGAATAGAACGTATGGTCGAATAAAACGTACGTGCGTTGTATTCGAATACAATGTATGTACGTTGTATTCGGATTCTTGGAAACTTCGATATGTAAACAAAAAAAAAAAGAAAAAGAAAAAAAAAAAGATATCTGGAAAAACAAAAATGTTGTGCAGTATTGCAATCCATGCAACGTTTGCCTGAGGGTCATGTCGAATTCCACACTCAAATCGGAGGAAAAAGTATTTCCCACTCAAATCGGAGGAAAAAAATAGAAATGGGAATAAAAATATCCTTTTATGGCACGGAAATTCTGTTGTTGTTGTTGTTGGTTTTTTTTTTTTTTTTTTGGTAATTATTTATTAACGTATTATTCTCTCAATTTACCTCCCACTGCCTACCTACTCTCATCTTAGCAACTGCGAAGGCCAGACTCTTAGGATATTTATCTGAGACAGTCTACGACGACGAAGTTGTATATCTCTCTACTCTACACGGGGCGTAGCACTCACGCTCCTGACACCTGGCGTGAACTGGGAAGCCATGGGTTCCCATCCAACTAGGGGGCCCAAACCAGTCAGTTCAGCTGGAGAACCTAAAGCATATCACAGGGGGCCGTGGGGATGGAACGTATGATGTGGGGAATCGAACACAACACAACCTCCTGCAAACCACTTTCGTGCTCAAACAAACTGAACTAGCCTGCTTGGGCTGATTTCTTTACAATTTCGATTTTTCAAAAACGTGCGAAAAAAATCCAAAGAAAAACTGTGGTACAAAATTGCAATGCAGCGAACTTTGCCCGAGGGTCTTGTCAAAATTCCCAACCAAATTTGGGGAGATGAGGGTGGTACACTCTAGGCTCCTGCAAAGAAAGTTGTGCCATAAAACTCGTTGCCATAAATCGTCTAACTTACGTACCTTGTACTTGGACACAGCATACCCCCCCCATACATTGCATTCTTTGTAAAGAGAACTCTTGGCCGGGGCGTATTAATACAGCCAAGAGAACTCTTGGCCCCCATCTGTTCGTTCATTTGATCACGCTTAGCAGACTAATGCCCCCACCTGTTGAAAGTAGGGCAAACATAGCGGAAGCAAGTAATTGTGGTGTTAAGACAAGATGCGAGTGATTGTGACTGTAGGAGACGAGGAACATCATGAATCCAGTAGGCGGAAGAAGCAATGGAGCATCCAGTAGGCGGAAGAAGGAAAAGGGAAGAAGAGGAGGAGGAGGAGAGCTGGAGCTAGGAAGTGCTTGTGAACCGGCGTAAACAACAGCTAATTTTGATCGTGGCGTTAAGGCAGCTCTCGACTTCATAGGACTTGCAGATAAACTTTGTTCCGAATGTGAAAAACGAGAATTTCTCGGAGTATTCTCCGAGAATTCGGATATTTTGCACTCTAGCCGTTTCTTTGTAGTCACTCATTGAACCGGATATTTTTTTGGGAGTGGATTGCTGGTATTGGCAGGAGGACGATGCGAGGATCTTGCCCTCCAATTGTATTATGATATTTGCTTTTTTTTTTTTTTTTTTTTTTTTTTTTTTTTTTTTTTTTTTTTTTTTTTTTTTTTTTTTTTTTTAATGATATGTGCTTTAGAATTGCATGAAGGATCAAAATCCTGACTGCGGCAAGTCAGACTCCGAATTGAAAACTGAATCCAAACACTTAACTTTCACTCTTGTCATCATAATTGATTATCAATTTATTATTTATATCTCTGGCTAATTTTCATGGAGCATTTGGACTGCAAACTGTAGTAGTGTTTTTTTTTTTTTTTTTTAATTACAGCAGTACCGTTCTCCTATGTCGGCCGCGGGCAGTGTCAGAGGGGCCCGAAATGAAAAACGGGCCACCAATTTGATTTATCAATGATGGTTCTCCCCAGTTGGTGGCCGAAATGATCACGCTTCCAAACCCATCCCGCCCCCCGCCCCCCCCCCTTTCTTTCAGCCACCAGTCACCCAGCAAGGCTTTAGATTTCAAGTGAGGAAAGGTACTGGTGGTTGAAGGAGGGGTTGGGGTGTTCGGAGTGTGATCAAACACGGAAAAAAAAAAAAAAAAAAGGAGAAGCGAAAAAGTAAATGGGGGGAGGATAGGAGGACGTCTGCAAAGATCGAACTTCCAAATCACCTATTCATTTCCGACCTTTCGGAGGGGGGGGCGGAGGCGGGGGAGGGGGTGGAGTTATCAAAAAAAAGAAAAAGAAAAGAAAGGAGAACCAAAAAAGAGAGGAGGGGGAGGGGTTGAAAAAAGGGGAGGATATGCGGATGTCTGCAAAGAACGAACTTTCAAATCACCTATTCGTTTCCCACCTTTCAGAGGAGTGGAATTAAAAAAAAAAAAAGAAGGAAGAAGAGCAAAGCAAAAGAAAAGAAAGGGGAGGAAGCACAGGAAGCACAAAATAAAAAAGAGGAAAAGTGAAAGAGGAAGAGGGGGGAACGGGAAGAAAAGAGAGAATCTGCACAGAAGCAAAAAAAAAAAAAAACGACCCGTCTTAGGAGAGGCAGTGGTAGCTAGTGCTGAATGTTTTCCGGGTGTGTTTTTTCGGAAAAAAAAAAAAAAAAAAAAGACCCGTCTTCTCAGCGTATCCACAATGATGTGTCTTCTCGGCCTATCATTCCGACGTATTCAACGAGTTTTTTGCAACAGATTCTTGGTAGGTACGGTGAAGTTACTTCCACAGAGTAGACTCTTCTCAGCATATCCGCAAAGACCCGTCGCAGAGTAGACTCTTCTCAGCATATCCGCAAAGACCCGTCTAGAGTCCGCGATATCTTCGACAGAGTAGACTCTCTTCTACGCACAAGAAGACTTGTTGTTGCATACCGTATAGGTGCAGACCAGAACAAGAACCGACCTTTCAATACAAAGTATAAGATAGCACAGCGGAAGACTTAGATACCAGTGATCCGAACAATCAATG